CGACAGCTCTTTGCTCTTAGAAAATTCCACAGCAAGTTTGAGAAATTCCCATGGGCATCCCATTTTAAGCTCTGCCCCATCCAAATCCCACCCACTCTCCTTCACCTGATGGACCTTGAGCCAAAATGAAGACAAAGACAAAGACAAAATACACCATCTTCCTGCTCGGGGCCATTGTTGGTGGAAGACTCGCCGGGGTGTCTTGAAGGGGACAAGAGGCTCCCTTATATCTGAAAATAATGTGACCTGCTCCTGGTCAGTGAAGCGGATCAACAAAGAAAGCACATTTGCATGCTCCGCTTCCCAGGTTCAAGGGCCACGCGGTGGACATTAGCCCTCAGCCTCGGTCAAGCACTGTGCCGGGGGACCTGACTGGGGTCACGGGGAGCGCACCAGCCAGGAGTGGGAGACCCGGCCTCGCGCAGCGCGCTCCGCCTCCGCCAGCAAGAACCGCCGTGTGCCTGCGAGCGCAGGTCTGCTGGGCTCCACTCACGACGAGGCAAACGTGGACATCTGGGGTGCCCGGAGGGAGGCCTGGCCCGGCACTGTCCCGGCCTCGTGCACGGCCTGTGAGTGTCACAGGGGGAAGGGGGGTAGCAGTCCAGTTAGCGATGACCCCGAGCCCGCGGCAGCGTCACCCAGCAGATCTGAGTCACAGCTGCACGCCCGTCGAGTTCATTGAGAACGTGGGTATCAGGCCCTGGCCAGTTTGGCTCAGTGGTTAGAGCAGCCGCCGTGCACCAAAGGGTCACGGGTTCGAGTCCCAGTCAAGGGCACATACCTGGGTTGCGGTTCCCCTGGCCCCAACCAGGGTGCGTGCGGGAGGCAGCCAATCGATGAGTCTCACATCCATGTTTCTCTCTCTATCTGCCTCTTTCTCTCTCCTTCCCTCCTACTCTCTAAAAATCAATAGAAAAAAATATCCTAGGGTGAAGATTAACAAAACAAAAAATACCCAAAACAGAAGGTGGGTTCCAGAAGTCGTATTCCTGTCCCTGCCGCCCACCCTGTCGCCTAGGCCTGTGCAATGCTCTGGAATAAACACCAGGACCACTGACAAATGCAGACGCTGACATCAGATGTGGCTTTTTAAGTAGATGACCTTGAACAGGCTGCTTAACGTTCTGAAACTCACATTCCTCATCCTTAAAATGAGGGTGTGATACGACACATCCCCCACAGGATGCTGGAGAGAACAGACTGAAATAGGGCATGGGAAGTGCTCCTCAGAGTGTCTGGCCGTGGTGGCTGGTGGACACTCACGCTCCTCTCTCCAGCTCAGAGCCCCGTCTCCGGAAACGTTTTCAGGCCCGTGAGTTCACAACGAACCTGCCTGGTCTGGAGAAGTCAGTCGTGCTGATGGCTCTGTGCTTGCTCCCAGGTCTTGTCAGAAATTCAGCTCAGGAACAAGCTAACCTGTGTGAACCAGGGGTAGAGAGGAGCCCCGTGCCTTTCAGTGTTTCAGCATTTTAATAACCTGGAGCCGGGCTGCAATTCTCTCAGGAGAGTTGGGTGGCCACTTGCGAGAGCTCAGACACCCCCATACCTGTGGTCCGAATGCTCGGTCCCCCACAGATTCTAGTGTGGAAACCCTAACTCCCAAGGTGACGGTGTTAGGGGCGGGCCTGTGGGAGGGGATCAGGCGATAGTCCCTCAGGAATGGGGTTTGGGCAATGCCCTTAGACAGGAGAACCCAGAGAGACCCCTGTCCCTTTCTGACACCAGAGGACACGTGGAGAAGGGCTGTCTGCAACCTGGAAGAGGGTCCTCGCCAGCACCCCGCCAGGCTGGCCCCTGGTCTGGTGCCTCCAGCCTCCAGAACTGCAAGAACTGGACGCTGGGTGTTTATAAGCCATGCCCGGTCCGTGGTATTTGGTTACAGCAGCCCGACGGGCTGAGACCCTGTTCATCTGGGTTTAGAAGAGAAGCCAGGTGAAACCCTGACCCATAGTGGGGCGCCCACCGCATGGCGAGCCTCCCCTTATTCCAGGTGGTCCGACGGTGACGCCGTGTGTGCACCCTTCACTCACAGACAAAGGCCCACTAGGTAAAAGCAGAGAGAGATGAGACCATGAGGTAATAAAGAACTAAAACAGCGTGTAACCGAGACTGTCTGGAAGTTTGTCTTTTCTTGTAGATTTAAATTTTTTTTTTTTTCTTTCAAGGGAAGTCCCGCCACCACAGCCTGACCTCACAGGGATCCGGGCACTTTTTTAAAAAAATTTTGTTTATTTTATTTATATTTATGGTTGAAAGTATTACAGATGTCCCCCTTGTTCCCCATTGATCCCCTCCACCCCACCCCCAGGCCTTCACCACACTATTGTCTGTGACCATGGGTTATACATATATGCATGTAAGTTCTTTGGTTAAT